TGGTAATCCTAGCCACAGAGAGCAAGGTGAGTAGAGGGTGGGACCTGGGACTCAAGCCCACCGATACCTCGCCCCTATCCTGCCCACAACCAGCCCAGGCCCCTCCCACCTCCCCAACCCAGGCCACTCCCACACCCTGACCCAGGCTCTTCCCACAATCTGACCCAGGCCCCTCCTATCCTGACCTAGGCCCCTCCCATACCACCAGGCTCCTCCCACAACCTGACCCACGCTCCTCCTATCCCGACTTAGGCTCCTCCCACACCAGGCCCCTCCCATACCACTAGGCTCCTCCCACAGCCTGACCCACGCTCCTATCCCGACCTAGGCCCCTCCCACCCCAGGCCCCTCCCATACCCCACCCAGGCTCCTCCTATCCTGACTTAGGCCCCTCCCACCCCAGGCCCCTCCCGTACCCCCTACCCAGGCTCCTCTCATATTCCTACCTAGGCCCCTCCCACCCAGGCCCCTCCCCCCTCCCCAGACCCCGCCCTCAACATGCTTAGGCCCTGCTTAGGCCCCTGTCCGGCTCACTGAGTCTGGTGCCTTCAGGCTGTGTTCCTTCTCTTCCAGGGGCCTCACCCTTTCCCCAGCGCTGATGGGGGTGGTGGTCTTCTGCACCCCAAGCTGTGCCCTGGGAGTGGCAAGTTAGGGCTTGGGGCCCCCTCAGCTACCCAAGGGCTGCCAGCCTCCAGGAGCTCCTTGGTCACCTTGTGTGTAGTTTCTGTGTCTGTAAGACTGCAGTGGGGACCCCCTGCCTTGGGGACCCTTTGATCAGTGCCCCTCCTTGGCTCTGCTCACCTTCTAGCCAGTTCTTCCTCATGGGGCTGCCTCCCTGGCCTGTCCCCACCGCAGGCCCCTCTGGTCACTGTCCCGTGTCCGGGGGCAGAACCGCCCCAGAGGGGACCCTGCCTTAGCAGCACGCGTGTGAAGCCGTGTCCCGTGCTGGGAGTGTTGTCCCTGAGCCTGGGGCAGCAGCGTGGGCAGGGTGTTGGTGGGCCAGGTGGGGGGTGACAGGAGGGCTGGCAGCTGACTGGCACACCTGGCCCCCTCGGGTCCAGAGAGCCGCCTGGACGTGAGCTGGTCCCCATGTGGCCCCGTCGGGCAGCCGGGCATGTGAGGAGCCAGGTGGCCGGCACGCTGCCCAGGAGGGTCCAGCTTTGTCCCCACGGCAGGTCGCTGCGGAGGAGCTGTGTTCTCTGCTGGGGCAGGTCTTCCAGATTGTGTACACAGAGTCCACGATCGACTTTCTGGACAGAGCCATATTCGATGGGGCCTCAACACCCACCCACCACCTGTCCCTTCACAGCGGTACGTGAGCGTGGGTGGGCAGTGGTGCTGCTGTCCCCGTCCCTGTGGCTCTGCACCAATGCCTCGTTCCCAGACTCCACTGCCAACGTCTACCTGCAGGCAGACATGTCCCCTGCCCCGGGAGCCCGGTGGCTTCCTGCACCACGTCGGGGGCGGGGCAGGGAACGCCTTCTCAGCTGAAGTCCCTTCACCTGCCTCAGAACAGAGGGCCTGGGGCTGGAGGGGGTGTGTGTGGGGAGGAACCCCCAGACCTCACAGCTCTTGGGCTGCGGTGGGGGGAGCACATGGAGGCCACCCCCTCTGCTGTATCTGCGGAGCATTTTCGGCAGGCGGCTCACATAGCCCGGTGTTCCACCCGCCAGGAGCGCCCCCTGCTCCTCGCACCGCTCCCCGACTCTGCACTTCCCAGCCGCTTCTCTCAGAGCTCAGCATTGTGCGGGATGGTGTCCGTGTCCCTCACGGTCTGTGTCACGTGGACCTTAGGTCACCCATCCAGTGTTTCCTGAGTAGCTGCGGTGTCCCGGGCTCTTTGCTGGTGCCAGGGGCTCAGGCATGCGGGGGGTCCCGCCTCCCTGCCTGCGTGGAGCCCACCGGGTCCAGGCTGGGGGTCAGCCCCGCCTCTGACCATGGCTCCTGCCCTCGGCCAGCCCCTTGTGGTTGGGCAAGTTGTCCGGCCTCTGGGATCCCACTCCTCGTCTAAAGCGGGCACAGGAGAGAGTAACCCGGGCCCCAGGATGCCATGCGGCAGCCACAAGTCCCGCTTGTGCTATCCTTGGCCCTCGGGGAGCGCTCTTCAGCCCCCCGTTTGGTGCGTCCTCCGAAGCCCGGAGCATTGCGCTCAGGCCCACACCTGCGACGGGTGGTGCCGGTCGAGACCCCCCCAGGAGGAGCCGGTGTGGTTGCTCGCCCCCCCCGGGGGGGGGGCCGGTGGCTCTGCCCAAGAAGGAGGTGCCCCCGCCAGGGCCCACGTCTCGTGGGGTGCTGGGCCCTGGGACTCTGTACCCCTGCCCATGTAACCGGAAGCCCCATGTGTCCGCACCCTGTACAGACGACTCTTCCACCAAGGTGGACGTGAAGGAGCCGTACGAGACGGAAGCCGGCACTTTGTGAGTACCCCGCCCGCTGGCCGCCCCCACGCCCCCACTGGGCGCCCCTGGCCGGAAGTGCGCGTTCGCAGGGGGGCGCGGGGCGCGGGTGCGACGTGGAGCCCGGGAGCCGCGTGCCCACGGCTCCTGTTCTTGCAGCTCCTTCCCCGAGTGTGCGCACGCGGGCGGCGTCTCGCCCTTGTCCTTCTGTACGCAGACGGCGCCCCACGCCAAGATGGTCAGCGAGAGCGAGCTGAGCGCCACGGCCACCGAGCTGCTGCAGGACTACATGCTGACGGTGCGCCCCCCCTGGGGGGCGGTGGGGGGGGCGCGCGGCGGGGCTGGGGCGCGGGCTGCTCAGCGGACCCCCCTAAACCTCGCTGCTGAACGTCACGTGGTTCCGTCCGCGCGCCCGTGCCCCGGGCTCCTTGCGGGCGCACTCCCTGGGGGCGCTGCGGGTGAGGTGAGGGGTGGCGGCGGCGCCGCTCACCGCCGCACCCCTGCCCCGCTGCGGGTTAGCTGCGCACCAAGCTGTCCTCCCAGGAGATCCAGCAGTTCGCTGCACTGCTGCACGACTACCGCGACGGGGCGTCCGTGCACGAGTTCTGCATCAACCTGCGGCAGCTGTACGGGGACAGCCGCAAGTTCCTGCTGCTCGGTGAGCCCCGCGGGCGTGCGGCCGCAGCGTGGGGGCCCCGCCGCCGAGGGCCCTTGCCAGCGACTGGTGGGACCTGCCCGTGGGAGCCAGACTGAGGGGAAGCCAGGAGCTGCTCGCCCTGGAGTGGGGGCCAGGGTGGGGCTCCTCAGGGGCTCGGCGCTCGAGTGGGTTTTGGTGGGTGACGAGGAGTTTGCACACGGGAAGCGGATCCCGTTTCTGGGGAGAAGGACCAGCCTTTGCAGAGATGCCGGCCCTCAGAGCTGGGTGGGCAGGGTGGTCGGGGCCCTGCGCACCTGCCCACGCCCTCAGGGATGACAGTGTGGCCATGTCTCCCGCCGTGCTGACCCTAGAGAACCCGGCTGGTTGATGGGGGCCAGTGGAGGCTCCCGGGCTCTGCCCCCACCATCCAGGGGGGGCCTGGGTTATACCCTTGTCAGCAGCCACTGAGGGCCTCTCCACTCACGGGGGATGTAGGGCCGGAGGCCTGGCCTGCTGCGTGCAGTCTGAGCTCTTGCCGACCCTGTGGCCTCCCCGCCGGGGTCAGCCATGCGGCCAGGGCTGCGGCCTCAGCCCCCAGCCCCCAGCCCCCAGCTCCGTGTTCCTTTCTGGCTTATTCTTACAGAAGTGGGTGGTGCTCCTCAGGCCGGCCTGCCCCCCTCGCCCCCGTTCTGCACCTGGAGGCCTGTGGGTGCGCTTCCACCCGGCCCGAGGGAGGGAGATGGGGCCAGCCGCCCGCCGCAGACCCGGGACCTGCACGGGCCTGCGGTGCCCCTCGGACGGGGCTGGACGCGGGGCGGCCGGGGCGGGCAGAGGCTTGTGCTCCCCGCCGGAGGCCTGGCGTCAGGCACACCCCGTGTCCACAGGTCTGCGGCCTTTCATCCCGGAGAAGGACAGCCAGCACTTCGAGAACTTCCTCGAGACCATCGGGGTGAAGGACGGCCGCGGTATCATCACCGACAGTTTTGGCAGGTACCGGCGGGCCCTGAGCTCCACCTCCGCCTCCGCCTGTACCGGGAACAGGGCCGCGGGCAGCTCCGACGACCAGTCTGTGCCCTCGGAAGGGGACGAGTGGGACCGTATGCTTTCGGACATCAGCAACGACATCGAGGCTCTGGGCTGCAGCATGGACCGCGACTCGGCCTGACGGCGCCCGTGCGCCCGCGACTGTGAAGGGCTGGCCCCGGGGCGCCGGTGCCCAGGAGGGGTCCTGGGGGTCCTTTCAGTTTTGCACACGACGTTCCTGTCGAAACTCTCAGAGACCTTCAAAGAAGTTTCCTGCGATGTGAATAATTCATCTCTGGTCCCAGCGTGCTTCTGGTCTCGCGGTGGGGGAGCCGGGCCCGCACGACGGGCCGGGCGCTGTGGCCTGGGGGCCGGCTGCCTGTCGGTGCTCGTCGCAGACCGGGAGGACGGGATTGGGGCTTTTGCTTCGTGGACGTGGGGTTGGGGCAGCAGGGGGCCTGGGCGCTGGTGCAAGCGCAGGTCCTCGCTGTTGGGAGCGGGCTCTGGGTTCCCGAGCGTGGCGCCTGCCCCCCTTGCCCTCACCCGAGTGCCCCAGTCCTCGGTCTCACTGCCACCACAGGTGGTCTCCCCTGCAAACCCTCACCCTCACCACCCCCACCCACCACCCCGAGAGCCTGTCATCTTGAAGCCCAGGGTCCCGGTCTCCAGGGGGCTTGGGGGGCGGGCACTGTGTTCTAGGCCTTCCCTGGGCTGGGCCCCTCCCCTGCCCTTGGCACATGGGGAGGCAGTGGGGGTGGCCCTGGAGACGCCCCTCCTCACCTAGAAGGTCTCTGCCCTGGGAGACCCCCGACAGCACGTGTGGGAAGCCCCAGGCTGAGCAGGGTGGGTGCTGGGGTCCTGGAGAGGGAGGACAGAGGCCGTGTGGGGGCCAGGCGGGGGTCTGCTTCCTGGCCAGCGGCAGGTCAGGATGGGAGGAGGGCTCTCAGACTTGGTTCCGGCCTGCGCCGTCCGGGAGCTGGTGGTCGGCCCAGGGCCGCGGAGCTAAGGGGATATGGGGTGGGTCTCCAAACAGGAGCACAGATCAACCTGCTGTGGCAGCATCTGGAACAGCTAAAGTCATCCAGGCAGGGCCAGCCCACCCTGGGTGTGAGTGGCCCCAGCGAGCGGTCGGGGGTGGGGTGGCCGCACTGTGGAACCGGGTCTAAGTGTCCTGTGTGGACGGCAGGAGCCGCTCCCTCCTCTCCAGGGGCCCCTCTCACACGCAGCCCCCCTCCGCGGGTCCCTGGGCTTTGGAGAAGAGGGAACATGGAGGGGATGGGCGGTCCCTCCAGAGCTGGGCGCCAGGAGGGGCCAGGAACTTCGGGGGCCAGTCGCTGCCCCCACCCCCCAGCAAACACCTTTTCAATGGCTAAACCTCCAGAGCCCCCGAGTCTGGGGAGTTCCTTCCCAAAACCAGTCCCCAGGCCCACGCCTTGGGCCACAGCCAGGTGACTGCCTACCGTCTGGGCAGGCTGGGTACTGGGGCCACGGCGGGGGGGGGGGAAGGTGGACCCCCACCTGCTAGAGTCACAGGACGGATCCCACCCTCTGGGGACAAGTGGGGACAGACCCCCACCCTCTAGCGACGGAGACGACTCCCACCCTCTGGGACACGGAGAGATCACCCACCCTCTAGGGCCATGGGAACGCCACCAGCTCTGGGGCAGGAGCGGGTAGGACCACCAGCCTTTGAGAACATGGGGAACAGATCCCCGCCGTCTGGGACATGGAAGGGAGGACCCCCCCTCCTGGGGCTCTGCACGGACCCAGGAAGCGTCTCCACCCATTCACAAACCCCATTCGGCTGGAGCGCGCGCCCGGGTAGGTAGGAGCCAGAGCAGAGGCCATGAGGAGACACCCATTTATTGAGCAGCAGAGCCGGGGGCAGGGACGGAGCTGTGCGGTCAGATGGCGGTCAGCGGCTACATGGTGAGCTCCTGCAGGAAACGGCAGAGAGAGAGGGCGGGCTGGGGAGGGGCGCGGCAGGGCCAGCAGCAGGGGGCCCACAAGGGGCCGGCCACTCACCATGATGGCGTTGACGATGTCGCTCTGGTTGTCCCTCAGGGCCCGCACCGCCCTGGCCCGCGACACGTTGGCCTGCGCCATCACCAGCTCAATGTCACGGAGCTCCAGCCCTGCCTCATCCACCTGCGGGGGGCGGGGGGGCAAGCAGGCAGGTTCTGGGGCTGCCCCCACCCCCAGGAAAAGCCGTTGAGCCCCCCCCCTCATCCCTGTGCCTCACCTCCTCCTCCTCTTCCTCCTCCTCCTCCTCCTCACATTCGGGCCTCACCAGCGGCCCGGGTGCGGACTCGGGGACCAGGGCGGAAGGCTCCGCGGGCACTTTGAACTTCTCAGCAGCAGCTCTGTGCACTTGCTGGGACAGGTCCTCGATCTGCAGGGGCACGGCGGTCAGCCCGTCCCGCACCCCGGGCCCCCACCCCCTCCCGCGGCCTGCCAGACCTTGGCCTCGCCGAAGACCACGTAGGTGTCCGAGGCTGGGCTCTTGAAGACGTCAGGCTTGGCGATGACAAACAGGATGTTCTTGGACTTCTGGATAGTGATCCGGGTGACCCCCTGGATTTGCCGCAGGCCCAGCTTGGACATAGCCTGGGGTCACGGGGGGCGGTGCTCAGACCTGGGCATCGACCCCGGGGGGGGGGGGGGTGGCCCTGGGGGGGGGGGGGGGGGAGCGGGTGGGCCCAGGGGGAGAGAGCACGCTGACGGGGGGGAACGAGGGTTCTGCCGCCAACCCTGGGGGACCCTCTGTGGTCTCTGGGCAGAGCCTGTGGGAGTGCCCCGGGGCATTGAGTGGGGTGCCGGACCCCAGCTGGGGGCACGGTCTCGATGGACGCTCCGGCCCCAGCAGTTTCACGACCCGATGGCCACTGGGTGTGAAGGGTCCCCTTATGCAGCAGGCCCCGCCCCCACGGAGTGGCCCGGGCGGGACCCCCACCGACCTTTCGGGCTTTCTTCTCACTACGACTCTGCTTGGCTTTGGCCACGGTCTCCTCGCTGCCGCCACCTGCCGGGGACTGGGGAGGACGGGGTTTGAGCACCCGAGGGGAGGGTGGGGTGGAGCCCTCCCAGGGGTGCAGCCTCCCTGCTCCCGGGCCAGGCACCTGGGCCGGGCACTGTGCCGTCTGCGCTCCTGAGAGGTCCTGCTCCTCCAGCTCTGCAGACGACTCGCCGTGGCTGTCCGAGTGCTGGCCGGATCCCGGAGCCCTCGGCGGCGAGTCTGGGCATGGGGTAGGGGTGTGTCTGCGTTGAGGACGGCTTCCCGCCCACCTGCCACCTCTGGTCCCTGGCTCAGGACAGCGTTCCAGCCCCGGCCCCTCTCACCTTCCTCCAGGCTGTCCTGGTCATCTTGCTGCTCGGCGGCCGGGAGCCCTCGAGGGCCAGGAGGCACTTGGCAGGGGGGCGAGATCCGCCAGGCCTGGTCTTTGGCATGGGTGTCCCCCGTGGGGGCCGTCTTGGGGCTGAGGATCGGGGAGTGGGGTGGGAGGCCGACCCGATGCCCGGCCCCAGGAGGTTTCGTGGTTCCTGAGAAGGCAGCCACCGCCCGCTGGGCTCCTGCCTGTGGCGGCTGGAGGCCCGGAGAGCCCGGGGGCTCCTTGCCCTCCTCCGAGTCTTCCCTGGGGCCCTGGCAAGGGCAGGGGGCGAGGGGTGCCATGGGGCATGGGGCTGCCTCTGTGGGGACCCCAGGAGCGGGGGGCTCTGGGACGAGGAGCCTGTCTTGGGGCACACTGGGCAGGCCCCTGGCAGGGCTTTTGGGGGCTTGTGCTGGGGACGAGCTGGGGCTTCTGGGTGCTACTTGTGCCCACTCTCCACTGCCTGGGCCCAGCACGGGCTCCGGCTGCCGAGAGGGTGCTGGAGAGGTGGGGGCAGGCTCTTTGGGGCAGCCCCTGCCAGGCCTGGGCACGAACCTCGGTGGAAACTCGGAGCAGGAGCCCAGCGCAGCTTCTGAGGCCACAGCAACAGGAGACCTGGGCTCAGGGTTGGCTCTTCCCTCCTCCGCTGGGCTCTGGGGCCATGTAGGGCCAACCTCGGGGCGAGCAGCAGGATGTACCTCTGGGCCACTATCCCCAGGAGCCTTCCTAGCACCCTGGGGTGCTGACTCGAGGCCCCCAGCCCCTTGATTCTCACCCCCTGGGGCCTCCACCAGGGGCAAGTGGGGCTCGGCTCCATCACTAGCACGCACACAGGCACTGGGACCGGTTCCCTGCTCAGGTGCCAACAGGCCCTCAGCTACTTCCTCTCCAATGGAGGCAGGCTTGGGTGGGTCTGTGGCCTCCATGGCAGGCCTAGGGGGCCCTGTGGCAGGCTCTGGGCATTCTGGAGCTTTTGTGGCAGACTTGGGGCATTTCGGGCCCTCCGTGGCAGGCTCTGGGCATTCTGAGGCCTCTGTGGTGGGCTCAGAATGTTCTGAGGCCCCCGTGGCAGGCTCTGGGCATTCTGGGGCCTCTGTGGCAGGCTCTGGGTGTTCTGCAGTCCCTGTGGCAGGCTCTGGGCATTCCGCGGCCCCTGTGGCAGGCTCCTGGTGTTCTGGGGCCCCCGTGGCAGGCTCTGGGCGTTCTGGGGCCCCCGTGGCAGGCTCTGGGCGTTCTGGGGCCCCCGTGGCAGGCTCTGGGCATTCTGGGGCCTCCGTGGCAGGCTCAGAATATTCTGGGGTCTCTGTGGCAGGCTCTGGGCATTCTGGGGCCTCTGCGGCAGGCTCTGGGCATTCTGGGGCCTCTGTGGCAGGCTCTGGGTGTTCTGGGGCCTCCGTGGCAGGCTCAGAGTATTCTGGGGTCTCTGTGGCAGGCTCTGGGTGTTCTGGAGTCTCTGCAGCAGACTCTGGGCATTCCGGGACCTCTGTGGCAGGCTTAGAATACTCCGGGGCCTCTGTGGCAGGCTCTGGGCGTTCTGGGGCCTCCGTGGCAGGCTCAGAGTATTCTGGGGTCTCTGTGGCAGGCTCTGGGTGTTCTGGGGCCTCTGCGGCAGGCTCTGGGCATTCCGGGGCTTCTGTGGCAGGCTCTGGGCATTCCGGGGCCTCTGTGGCAGGCTTAGAATACTCTGGGGCCTCCGTGGCAGGCTCTGGGCGTTCTGGGGCCTCCGTGGCAGGCTCTGGGCGTTCTGGGGCCTCCGTGGCAGGCTCTGGGCATTCCGGGGCCTCCGTGACAGGCTCAGAATGTTCTGGGGTCTCTGTGACAGGCTCTGGGTGTTCTGGGGCCTCTGTGGCAGGCTCTGGGCATTCCGGGGCCTTCGTGGTAGGCTCTGGGCATTCTGGGACCCCTGTGGCAGGCTCTGGGCGTTTCGGGGTCCCCGTGGCAGGCTCTGGGCATTCCGAGGCCTCTGTGGCAGGTTCAGAATGTTCCGGGGCCTCCGTGGTAGACTCTGGGCATTCCAGGGCCTCCCTGGAAGGCTCACAATGTTCGGGGGTCTCTGTGGCAGGCTCTGGGCATTCCAGGGCCTCCATGGCAGGCTCACAATGTTCTGGGGCCTCTGTGGCAGGCTCTGGGCATTCTGGGGCCTCTGTGGCAGGCTCAGAATGTTCCGGGGCCTCCATGGCAGGCTCTGGGCATTCTGGGGCCTCCGTGGCAGGCTCTGGGCATTCTGGGGCTTCTGTGGCAGGCTCAGAATGTTCCGGGGCCTCTGTGGCAAGCTCTGGGTGTTCCGGGGCCTCCGTGGCAGGCTCTGGGCGTTCCAGGGCCTCCGTGGCAGGCTCAGAATGTTCCGGGGCCTCTGTGGCAGGCTCTGGGCGTTCCAGGGCCTCCGTGGCAGGCTCTGGGCGTTCTGGGGCCTCCGTGGCAGGCTCAGAATGTTCTGGGGCCTCTGTGGCAAGCTCTGGGCATTCCGGGGCCTCTGTGGCAGGCTCAGAATGTTCCGGGGCCTCCGTGGCAGGCTCTGGGCATTCTGAGGCCTCTGTGGCAGGCTCACAATGTTCCGGGGCCTCTGTGGCACGCTCTGGGCATTCCAGGGCCTCCGTGGCAGGCTCAGAATGTTCCGGGGCTTCTGTGGCAGGCTCTGGGCATTCCAGGGCCTCCGTGGCAGGCTCAGAATGTTCCGGGGCCTCTGTGGCAGGCTCAGGGTATTCCAGGACCTCCGTGGCAGACTCCAGGCATTCTACAGCCTCTGTGGCAGGTTCTGGGTGTTCTGGGGCTTCCGTGACAGGCTTGGGGCAATTTGTGGCCTCTGTGTCAGGTCCAGGGCGTTCCACAGCCTCTGTGGCAGGCTTGGGGGAATCTAGGGCCTCCATGTGAGGCTTGGAGGCGCCTGCAGTTCCCCATGAGGCCCAGGGTGTCCCAGCATCTGCAGCTGGCTCCAGGCCATCCAGCTGGGCCTGTTCCCAGGCTGGAGGCTCCGGGCCTCCAGTGCAGCTTGTGTCCCTCTCCTCAGGTGCTGGCCTCAGTTCCAAGGTCACTTGTCCTTCGTGCTGGGCTGCAGTGACCACAGGTTCGATTCCTGGCATGCAGCCTGCACCCTTCTGCAGGATCTCAAGCCTGGCCCCAGTGGGGGTCCCCTGGTCTGAGGGGAGGCCCACGTCCTGCAGGGACAGAGGTGTGGCCCCAGAGTCAGAGTCCTGGGGTAAGGTCCTGTCTGTTTCTCCCGGCTGGGGCACAGGGCTGACCAGAGAAGCGGGCGCCTGGCCTGAGGGGAGGCCCGCGTCCTGCAGGGGCAGGGGTGTGGCCACAGAGTCAGGGTCCTGGCCTGCTTCTTTCTCCAGCTTCTGCAGAGAATCTGGGCTTGGCGTGAAGGCTCCCTCTTCCGGGGCGGTCCAAGGGCCCGGGCCTAAGGCCGCGCTGTCATCCTCCCATAAGGGCTGAGCTCTGCCCGGGGCAGCAGGTGCTGGACCCCAGAGGGAGCCTGCCTCCTCCCTCCAGGCCTGGGGGCTCCCCCCGGAGAGGCCTGGGGCTTCCCGCGGGGTGTGAGGGGATGTGGCGGCGGCGGCGGCGGCGGAGGCCTGGCCTGGCCCGGGGACCTGGGCGCCCGGCTCCTGGCGCTCGGTGGCTCGGCAGGCCCCCTGCTCGGGGGCGGCGGGAGCGGGCTCGCCAGGGCTGTGCTGGCGCAGGGCAGCGGGCCGCGCGTGGGGCTCCTCACTGTACAGCCTCTCATCGTCTGCCCCCGCGTAGGAGGCCGAGTCGGGGTCGGAGGAGGCTGCCGAGGTGTCGTCCCGGAAGGCGAAGGCCTCGTCCATGCCCTCGGTGATGGAGAGGTCAGACAGGGACTGCAGGGAGGACGCAAACGTGCTGTCGTCCTCGCCCTCCCCGGCTGGGTCCCCTCCGGGGACAGGGGCCCCCTCCTCCTGCTCGTCCTCGGGGGCCCTCGGCGTCACCTCCACGGCCTCCACCTGGACGATGAGGCTGCCTCGGAAGGGCAGGAGGGCGGCGGGGATCATGGGGTCGTTGGCCAGGAAGTCCAGCTCGGAGAAGTGGCCCTCCTGGCCCCAGGACGAGCTACTGTCGGCCGAGACGCTGGACTCCGGGGTCGGGGGGCCGGCGGGCCCCGTGGGAGACAACTCCTCGTCAGCCACCGAGCCCGCTGGGGAGAAGCCCCAGCCTGGGGGGACGTCCAGCCCTTCGGCCGGGGCCAGCAGGCTCAGGGAACAGGAGGGGGACGAGGCCCAGCTGTCCCCATCTGCCGTGATGTAGGAGCCCGAGGGTGAGGCGGGCGGCGAGTCCCCTGGCTCAGCCGGGGCGTCCCGGGCCTCCCTGCGGGGCCCGGGGCCAGGGAGCAGGCCACAGGCGCTCTCGGTGGGGGTGGAGGGCGGTGTGAAGTAGGGGTCAGGGTCTGGGGCAGGGCAAGGCACAGGAGGGTCACCCTGAGAACACACCTCGGGGGGTGGGTCCAGGCTGGGGTGCCCACCCTCCCGGTCCCTGAGCTCTGGCAGGGCTGCCCTGGATGGCGGGGGCGCCCGGCGGGTCTCCTCACCCATCACGATCCGGGGCTCCAGGGTGGCTGGGGGAGGACCCCCGGCGGGCTGGGCCTCGGGGGACCCCGGGCTGGGGCTGCCTTCTGCGGGCACCGCCCACGCCGAGGGGGTGCCGCCCGGCCCTGCATCCCAGCTGGCTCCCTCCGGCGGGGGCCGGGCGCCCGGCTTGCTGGGCAGAAACTCCAGGGCCAGGGCGCTGGGTCCGGGGGTCAGGGCACAGTGCTCCAGCCGGTCCCCTCTCGGGGTGGTGGCTGCGGCCACATCACAGGACGACTCTGCGGACAGAGGGGGCCATGAGGAGGGCAGACACCCTCTGGGGGCTGGAGCTGCTGCGTCTGGGGGAGAATTTCAGAGAGTTCCGACCCCAGGGGCACAGCCTGGGGCCAGGGGGTCGGGGGTGGGTGGCGTGGCTCCCGTCTGAGCCTCGGCAAGGCTGGACGAGCACCTGTCTCCGCGGACGCTGGCTGGCTGGCCCCCTGCCCTCAATCTGTGCTGCGCCTGGTGGACGACCTCTCCTGACCTCCTGTGTCAGAGGCCCCCAGGGGCAGGGGGACCTGCACCCCGCTGGCCCTGGGACGCTCTAGGTCTCCCACCTCCTGTGCATGGGGGTCTCGCCTCTCTGCCTCGTCTCTCTCCTTGCTGCCCACACCCGAGGCCAGCCTCTGGAGGTGCCATCCGGCTCTGCCCTCGCTCTTGCTTCGAGAGCTGGTGCACGGAGGAGGGAAGCGGGGCCACTGTGCGTGTGTGCGTCCTCAGGCTGCGCGTCCCACAGAGGCCGAGCTGGAGCATGGGGGTGAGAAGGGTTCCCTCCGCCAGGAATATGCCAGCCGGTCCCAGGGCAGTGTTACGGGGGCTGCTTGGGCCCCGACCATGTTCTCGGTGGCGGGGGGGTTCCTGCTCTATCACCCGTGATCACCCCACAAGTACCTCCGTGTCTCAGCTGTCTGTCTGCAAAGTCGAGTATCTGCCAGGATTAGAGGTGAAGCTTTTACAAAGGGGCGGTGCCCTCCCCAGCCTGTCCATCGGCCTGCAGCAATGAGGGGCAGCCCCTCGGGGCCCTCGGGCCACACTACTGGGATTCTCAGGCTGGCCAGGGGATCGCAAGAAGGGGGTCCTTCGGGTCCACTGCCGAGTGACAGACACCCAACACCTGGAGGTGGGTGTGGTGGGTGGGGCAGGTGGAGACCGGCTCCTGGCACTGAGCCTGGGGTACCCTTGCCCACCCGCCCTGGGGCAGGGAGGGGGCAGAGCTGGGCCAAGGAGGGGGGGTGAGGAAGGGAAGCCAAAGGTCAAAGGTTTTTGTAAGCATTCAAGGTCATCAAGCAGCCTGAGACCCTGAGTCTGGGGAGTCCTAGCCTCCACCTGCTTTACTGGACCCCAGAGGGAGGCCAGGCCCCTGGACCCAGCACTGGTGACATTCCCAGGTGACTTATCCACAGCAAGGTGCCCTTGGCCCTCCAGGGGTCACTCATGGCTGACCTCCTGCTGGGCCCCCCTGGCTGATCCTTCCAGACCCAGGCTGACCCCCTCAGCCTCCATCCACACTTGCTGACCTAGCCTCCCCCAGGATGTAGGCCTGCACTCCGGGGCACTGCCCCCCAGACCCTGCTCCCCCAGGGCATCCGACCTCCCACCCTCACGGCCTGCCCCCCCGCCCCCCACACGGCTTCCCCAGGCGCCAGCTCCATCCGGCTCCACCTGCCCAGGGCAGACCAATCACCGGCCCTGAGGCGGCTTCAGGCATCTAGGGGGCGAGTGCCCCCGGTGTTGGGGGTGCAGTTGAGAACCCCCCACCTCTGGTCCAGAGTCATGGGGCCAGGGCCCGCAGCTCCTCACAGACAATGGGGCGGCGGCGGCCCAGAGGGCGGGACGCGGGCCGGGAGCCACGGAGCCCTGGGATGCTCACAGGCCCTCGCGCCGCTTCTGGCTCCCGGAGGACGTCCCGTTTCCGCCCGCCCGCCCTTCCCCGCAGTCCTGAGCTGGGACGTGCGGGGCTGGGGGGTTGGGGGGCGGTCAAGATTCAGGTGCTCGAAAGGGCAGGGCGCCAAAAGGACCGGAGAGGGGACTGGGGGGGTGGTGACTGGAGAAGGGAGAAGGACAGAGGGGACAGGCAGGGAGAGGGACCGGAGAGGGAACAGGCAGGGACAGGGCGGCCGAGACGCGCGCAGGGGGCACAGCCCGAGGCCTCACCTGTGCGGGGCCCGGGCCTGCCCGCCTCCGGCAGCAGCGGCTCGGCACGGGCAGCCTCCCCGGGCATGGCCTGACCGTGCGCCCTTCCCTCGGTGCCCGGTCTGTCCGTGCGTCCGTCCGGCGGAGCCTGCGCGGCCACCGCCCCTCGGCCAGGGGTAGGGGGTGGGTGGGTCATCGGATGACGTCAGCACCGCCCCGCCCGCCCGGCGCCCCGAGTGAGCGTGCGCGTGCGCCCCAAGGACTGCGGAGCGCCGGGGCGGGGGGGCGGGGGGGGCGGCCTCCCTCCTTCCCCCGACCGGGGCTGCGCCCTCCTTCCGCCCTGCGCGGCCCCGCCTTTCCCGCAGCATTCCCCCCTGAACGCGAGGGGGCTCGGGGGCCCGGGGGCCAGTCGGAAGCTGGCCGGACCCCAGGGAACATCACCCCGAAGCCGGGCCTGGAAGAGGCGGGGTTGGGGAGGGTCGTCGGCACGCGGGGCGCAGGGGCCTCGGCGCCCTGGGGGAGGTGGCGGCGCCGTCCTGGTGCCCGGCCTCCTGCGTCCCCCTTGCCTCCATCCAGGAGGTGAGCTGGAGCCGCAGCTCCACGCTGATTGGCTGGCCGTCGCACGTTGGTCTCCGTGGCAACCGCCTCCCGGCTCCATGGAAACCGGAGAACGGAGCCGGCGCGGCGGGAACGCGGCGGGCAAGGCCGTCCCGGGGGAGCTGGGCGGACCGGTCCCGTGCGCCCCGCAGCTAGGCTCCCGGACACCGGGGCGGGAGGAAGAGGAGAACCACGCTTTCCTCCGCCTCGGCGGCCGCCTCCGCCACACCTCAGGGCTGCAAGCCCTCCCGAGCCTCCCTGAGCCGTGCCCTTGCTTCCACCCGGGCCCTCCCGCGCTCGCACCCGCCCAGTGCCAGGCTCCGGCTCCGGGAGACAGATGGCCATTGTCGCCATCCCAGAGCTGGGCGGGGGCAGGGAATCAGAGCGATCATTGTCGTGGGGGGTGCGGGGAATCTCCCCAACCCTGTCTCCTGCGGGCGCTGTCCCGGGCGCACCGCGGGGCTGGCTCCCTGCCTGCGTTGGGCACCAGCCCCGCCACGCCCAGCCTGAGCCCTGCATCCTGCACCCCTCTCAGTCGCTGGAAGTGCGCGAGATCCGTCCATCCACCCCCCTGATGGGGACCCTCCTGTTCTCCCCTTCCCCCACGCCTTCATCCTCACCTCCCAGGCTCTTCTAAGTTGCCTCCTCCCATGGCCCTTCGCCCGTGGCCGTGGCCGTAGCAGAGTCCTTCACAGTTCCCACTGCTCTGCCGACCCCCTACCATCTGGCCTGCACACACTTTCCAGAAACCAAAAGCCCTTCAGCATGCCCTGAGGGGCTTCTAGTCTGGATGAGGTGGCTGGCCTAGGCTTGTCTCTTTGCTTTTCCCGACTACCAATAAACGCAGGAAATCAGAGACAACCAAAACAGAACTCTTACACATGAAAAGAGTGAGGTGATGTGGTGAGGGTCCCCAGGGCTGGAGGAACAACAGAGCAGCCCGACGTCAGGGGGTCCAGGACCACGTTTCCTGACCCCCAGCCTGCCACCAGGAAGAGGACCAGGTGGACGTATTCATCCCCATGTGGGGCTGGAGTCCCACTGACGACTCTGGGTGTGTGTGGGGGGTCTGCTAGAACTGGCAGGAAGATCAAGGAGAGGCCCATTCCTTCCCCACCCGGCTCACTGGCCCCCCTGCCCCACTGAGAGGCCCCAAGGGTGGGGGGGAAGTACTCCTCCCAGGGGCCAGATACCCTGCCCCCATCCAGAGGCCCAGGATGGCCCAGCAGGGACCTCTGCACGGTCCACTGTCACTGAAACCACAGGCCACTAGAGTAGCTCAGGATCTGTCTGCTGAGTCCAAACAGGATAACCACCTGCTAAAATACAAAATGTGAACATAATAGCCTGACTGTTCAGGAGACAATAAAAAAATCACCTGTCATACCAGGAAACTCAAGGAAGAACCCAAGACTCAGGAAAGTCACAACTAGAATAAGAAAGAGTAATCAACTGATGCCCAAACTGAGCTGAAGATGCTGGAATTATCTGACAAGGATTTTAAATCAGTCGTAATTGAAGAGGTTCCGTAAGGAATAAGTTTATCTTGTAGCAAATGGAAAATGTTAGCAAAGAAACAGACATAACACAGAAGCAAACCAAAACCACAATATGATACAGAATCACTGAAAGGAAACACTTGCTGAGTGGCTTATCCGTGGCCAGAAATGACAGAGGATGTCCCAGTGAGGCTGAGGATGGGTCCACAGAAAGTACTCAACCTATTAACAACAACAACAACACAACACTGGGGGAAAAAACTGAACAGAGGCTCAGGAACCTGTGGGATAACAACATAAGATCCACTGTTCCCATAACCGGAGTCCCAGAAGAAGAGTGGCAGGGGCGAGCAGTTGAAAAGAGTATTCAAAGAAATGATGGCTGAAACTCCCCAAATTAGGCAAAAGACAGAGACTTAGATTCAAGGAGCTGAGCAAATCTAAAATACGATACATCCAAGGAAATCCACGTCTGGCCACTTGAGCTGTAACTTCTGAGCACCAAGGACGAAATCACGGAAACAGCCAGAGAGACGAGCATGAGACCCACAGGGAATGCTGAGGACAACCACAGCGCACTTCCGATCCAGAGCCAGCGGCCGGAAGGAAGCCGTGCCATGTTTTCCAAGTGTTGAAAGCAAGCATCATTTGAGAAGGAAGGCGCTCGCTTCAGCCACGCGCCCGTGCACACACACAAGAACGAAGGAGAAATGCACTCTGAGCCAGGGGACACTGAAGGCTCCAGCCCCGGCAGACCGCCCCGCAAGCCCGGGTATAGCGTGTCTCTCCACAAGGACGGACGTAAGGGCGGCCTCTTGGGGCACTGGGAGGGAAGAAGGAGCATGGGAAGGGCAGAGAGACGGGCGCAACAGTGGGCACTCCCCCTGAGTGCCCGGTAGCACGTGTGACGAGATAAACAAATGTTAACACCAGCTGACACTCGAGCGGATCCTTAAAAGCAGGGATGGCACAGCGACCAACATGGAAGCAGTGTGCACACGCAACCCGAAGTGCACACACTGCTGGCGGCCGACTGTGAGGACCTGCACGCGAGCGTGTTTCAATACCCAGAACAAACTCTAAGAAGACCATACAAGGGGCGCCTGGGTGGCTCAGTTGGTTGGGTGTCTGCCTTTGGCTCAGGTCATGGTCCCAGAGTCCTGGGATTGAGTCCTGCATCAGGCTCCCTGCTCAGGGGGAAGCCTGCTTCTCCCTCTCCCTCTGCAGCTCCCCCTGCTTGTGCTTGCTCTCCCCCCACTCCCCCGGGTCAAATAAATAAATAAAACCTAAAAAAAAAAAAAGAAGACAATACACGATGACACACCCCAAACCACACTATGTAAGTCAAAATAGAGTCCTTTAAAATGTTCAGAGTCCACAGGTGGGGTGTCTGGATGGCTCAGTCGGTTAAGCATCTGTCTTAACCTCAGGTCATGATCTCAGGGTCCTGGGACTGAGTCCCATGTCAGCCTGCTCTGCGGGGAGCCTACTCATGTTCTCAAATAAATAAATAAAATTTTATAAAAAAGTGTTCAGAGTCCACAGGAAAGCAAGATGAAAGAAACAAAAGAACAAGAAACAGAGGCAAACCAGAAGACAAATAACAAAATGGCAGACTTTTGGCCTTAACACACATAAACGTAAATAGGTTAAATATACAAATTACATTAAATACGTTAAAATGTACACTCACAGATCAGGAGGCAAAGACTGGCAGAGTGGACAAAAAAGGCAGACTGAACTATATGCTGTTTATAAGAAAGTCACTTCAAATGCAATAACGTAGGTGTGCTGGGAGAAAGGAAGAAGACACACAATATGAATGGTAATCAAACACAAGACAACAACAAAATGAAGAAGCAGGAGTGGCTGGGTTAATATCTGAGAAAGTAGACTTTTAAGCAAAGGAAATAAGTGGCGACAGACTGACATTCTGTGATGACACATTAGAGGTAGTGATTGGTCCCCCAGGAAGACATAAGAATCCTAAATGTGCACACATCAACTCTTAGAGCCTCAAAATACACGAGGCTGAAGCTGGCAGAGCAGAGGAGAGACTGGCATATCTGCAAGTATGGTTGAGGACTTCACTTTGTCCCCTTGACAACCCACAGGACCACTAGACAGAAAACCAGCCCAGATGTAGGAGACCCACACCATCCGCCCACCCACAGCATCCCGCAGGGTAGTCCACCCAGCGAGACAGAGTGCTCCTATGTTCAAAGTAGGGAACATTCCCCAAGAGAGATCAAACCTTGGACCATAAAACCAACATCAACACGTCTAAAATAACTGAAATCACAGTGTTTGTATTCAGACCACAATGGACTCCAACAAAATAAATCACAGCAAGACAACAGGAAAATCTCCAAACACTGGGAAGAAAACCACACTCTTGTAAATGATCCATGGGCCAAAGGGGAAGTACTTCGGGGAGCTTTTTTAAAAACACAGAACTGAACCAAATAAAAATAATACAAAACATCAAAGTATGTGGTCTGCAGCTAAAGCAGTGCTGAGAGGGGTATTTATAGCACATCAGAAGGAGGCAAGACCTCAAAATCATTGAAGTTCCTGCCTCATGAAATTCCTGCCTCATGACAGGAAAAGAGCAAAATAAAATCAAAACAAGCAGAAAGAAGGAAATAATAAAGTCAAGAGCAGAAATCAATGAAATTGAAAGCAGGAAATCAATGAAACAAACAAAATGGTTCTGAGAAGAATTAATAAGATTGATAAACCCCTAGCAAGACTGACAACCTTAAGAGGAGAGAAGACACAAATGCCCAGTATCAGAGTGCCCTGGCGGCTGGATGCTTAATTCTGTGTCAGCCTGACTGGGCCACAGGATGCCCGGACGGCTGGTAAGATTCTGTTTCTGGGAGTGCCAGCGTGATGTCTGAAATCCCTGGAGGCAAGAAGAAAATTAAAATCTACCAAATTCGAGCAAGCAAAATGAAGTAGATAATATGAACAGTCCTGGAACCATGAA